GGGATAGGCAGGCTTAAATTAGAGGAAGGACTGAGGCTTTCTGAATTTGCTTGTGGACTTCCAGTAAACATTTGGCTGGATGCTTTTGGGGCTGTGAGACACCCTGCCACCCCAAGTGATTTTTTGTGATGTTTTGAAATTATCCAAATGTTGTTGGGCTCCTGTCGTAGAAAGTAACATATCAACATATCTCAGTTAACATTGCTGCTGTTTCTTCCTCTCCTCCTCATTCTTCTTCATATCCAACTTTTTTGACCTCTATCTTAGCTGGTGGATTTTTAGCAGCATCAGCATTAGAAGGATGGTAACAGAGATCTACAATCAGGGTCAGGTTCTAGAACTCTGTTATGTCTCCAGTAAGAATGCAATAAAGTTTGAGCTAGGAAATGACAGGATTCTGATCTAATAATAATATATTGTTGAAGGCTTTCATGGCATCTATGGCAAGCATCCTCAGAGGTGAGGTCACCTCTGAGGATGCTTGCCATAGATGCAGGCGAAACCTCAGGAGAAATGCCTCTAGAACATGGCCATATAGCCCGAGAAAACCCACAAGAACTGACTAATAATAATACTTCTTTTTTCTTAACTGCCTCTCCCCAAAGCTCATAATACAATATATACACCATAAAATTATTTAAAACACAGATTTTAGAATATATAGACATATGATTAAAACTCATAAAAATAATTCAAATCAATACTATATCTATGTGTGCCTGGTTACAACAGGTAAGGTAAACTGCAGCTGCCTCTAGAGTCTCTTACTCCGATCTTTGGGGGAGGCCCTCCTTTCGCCCCTACCAATCTCACAAGCTCATCTTGTGGGGACAAGGGAGAGAGCCTTCTCCTCTGTGGCTCCCCGACTTTGGAACTCATTACCTGGAGAGATCAGGAAAGCTCCCGCACTATAAACATTCAAAAAGAACTTTAAAACCTGGCTCTTCCGCTGCGCCTTTGGCGAGTAGATGTATAGCATGATATTATTGCTCCCCTCAACGCTTCTGCCATTGGAGTACATGCTCTCCAAATGGGAAGTTTAGTTTCACAACTCTGTTTTTACAAGCTCCCTGCAAATAACCTGCTCCTATTTTATCTCATTAGAATCTTTTACTTGTTTTATCCTGTACATGTGGCCCACCCACTGTTATTGTGACTGTGTTTATTGGAAATTTTTTTCCTATGTAATATTGATAATGCTGTTTGTTGTTTATGTTTTTGGTTTTATTCTGTTGTCCGGGCTTGGCCCCATGTAAGCCGCTCCGAGTCCCTACTGGGGAGATGGTGACGGGGTATAAATAAAGTTTATTATTATTATTATTATTATTATTATTATTATTATTATTGAGCATATATGGAAACAAGAGATAGAGGGGGGGGGGGGGGAGACAAATTATCTCCAACATGTTAAAACAAACCCAAACCACAGATCTACAAACTGGGCCACTGAGATGGAAATCATAAAAAAGTGGAACATGCTTTTTGGTAGAAGATTTCAAGTAGCCTCTAGAACACTGCTTCCCAACCTATGAGTCGTGATTCCAAATGAGGTTGCGAAGGGTTTTCTGTGGGGCCGCCAGGCAGTGATGAACTATGAACATTTTTGCAAAGGAAAACAAAAAATTACACCATCTAAATGTCACTACCCTTGCTTTTCAAGTTTTACTCCCCTTTGTTTCTACATATCCCTGTGAGAGCAGATTTTCAATCCTTCTTCAATTGAAAACCAAAACAAGAAACAGGTTAAATGTTGAGAATGACATGAGGTTGGCATTAGCAAAAACTCAGCCATGAAGTTTCAAACTTGTTAACAAGTTACAATTTCAATCATCACATTAAATATGCCGAAAGTGAACATCACTTTGAATTATATTATACTGAAAAATCTATTTTCGATGTGTTTTCATTTACTTTATTTAAAAGTCTATGTTTAATGTATTGGGATCACGGGTTTCTTCGCCTCTATAAAATGGGGTCGAGACTCAAATATGGTTGGAAACCACTGCTCTAGAAGGTTTGGAATGTTTTTGTTTGTTCCTACAAGATTTCACTGAGCTGGTTATTTCATTTCAGAGACGTGTATTATTTGGGATCAAAGATTTGCTGGAAAACTTTTTGGGTTAGTGTAAGGGTTAGGGTTAGGGTAAGGGGTTAGTCTTAGGCTTATGGTAGGGATCAGGGTAAGGGTTAGGGTTTGACAATTAAAGATATATTATCTGTCTCTGACATGGCTTACATTAGCTAAGTCTCTCTTGCACAAACAGTGCTCCCGAAGGAGAGATGCGGCATCTTCGTAGAGATCGGTGCTTCCGGATCCAGCTATCATACTATTACCCTGAAGCCTGACAGGTCGCAGGTTCGAATCTGAGGAGGGTGTGGATGAGCTCCGTCTGTCAGCTCTAGCTCCCCATGTGGGGACATGAGAGAACCCCCCATAGGATGGTAACGCATCCTGGTGTCCCCTGGGCAACGTCCTTGCAAACGGCCAATTCTCTCACACCAGAAGCGACTGGCAGTTTCTCAAGTCGCTTCTGACACACACAAAATAAGCCAACAACATTACCTCATCACACTAGAGAAAGAATCCACTTTAAAACCGCTTGCTTCCTTTGCAGAATTCTGAGGTTTGTGGTTTAGTGAGAAGCCTTTAACAGCCTCCCTAAACTACAAACCTTAGAATTCTGCGGGAGGCAGAAACCGGATTTAAAGTGGATTCTTTCTCTAGTGTGATGAGGTATTATTGTTGGCTTTTTTTGGTGTCAGGAGCGACTTGAGAAACTGCATGTCGCTTCTGGTGTGAGAGAATTGGCCATCTGAAAGGACGTTGCCCAGAGGAAGCCCGGGATGTTTTACCACCCTTGTGGGAGGCTTCTCTCATGTCCCCACATGGGGAGCTGGAGCTGACAGACGGAGCTCACCCACGCTCTCCCCAGATTCATTCTCTAGTGTGATGAATACAAGTCCTTGCTTGCATGCTGGTCGCTTCTGTGGCGAAGCGACCCTGTTCAACATCTACACAAATGACCAGCCACTGCCAGAAGGGACGGAGAGTTTCATCTATGCTGATGATCGTGCCATTACTGCTCAAGCAGGGAGCTTTGAGATGGTAGAACAGAAGCTCTCCGAAGCTCTAGGTGCTCTTACTGCCTATTACAGGGAAAACCAGCTGATCCCTAATCCATCTAAAACACAGACATGTGCCTTTCATCTCAAGAACAGACAAGCATCCCGAGCTCTGAGGATTACCTGGGAAGGAATCCCACTGGAGCATTGCAGCGCACCCAAATACCTAGGAGTCACTCTGGACTGTGCTCTTACCTACAAGAAGCACTGCCTGAACATCAAGCAAAAAGTGGGTGCTAGAAACAATATCATACGAAAGCTGACTGGCACAACCTGGGGATCACATCCAGATACAGTGAAGACATCTGCCCTTGCGCTGTGCTACTCTGCTGCTGAGTATGCATGCCCAGTGTGGAACACATCTCACCACGCTAAAACAGTGGATGTGGCTCTTAATGAGACATGCCGCATTATCATGGGGTGTCTGCACCCTACACCACTGGAGAAATTACACTGCTTAGCCGGTATTGCACCACCTGACATCTACTGGGAAGTAGCAGCCAATAGTGAAAGGACCAAGGCAGAGACATCTCCAGCTCATCCCCTGTTTGGGTATCAGCCAGCACGCCAACGACTTAAATCTAGACATAGTTTTCTAAGATCTACAGAGACACTCGCTGGAACACCTCAGCAAGCGAGAGTCCAAAAGTGGCAGGCTCAAACCCAGCACCTCAACCAATGGCTGATACCAAATGAGAGACTCCCTCCTGGGCACAGAAGACTGGGCGACTTGGAAGGCATTGAACAGACTGCGCTCTGGCACCACGAGATGCAGAGCCAACCTTCAGAAATGGGGCTACAAAGTGGAATCCTCGACATGCGAGTGTGGAGAAGAACAAACCACTGACCACCTGCTGCAATGCAACCTGAGCCCTGCCACATGCACAATGGAGGACCTTCTTGCAGCAACACCGGAAGCACTCCAAGTGGCCAGATACTGGTCAAAGGACATTTAACCAGCTACCAAACTCACAAGTTGTGTATTTTTCTGTTTGTTTGCTTTGTTCTGTTAGAAATGTAATATAATGGACTGGCTACTCTGACACGACAAATAAAAAATAAATGTTGTTGTTCATTCGTTCAGTCGTCTCCGACTCTTCGTGACCTCATGGACCAGCCCACACCAGAGCTCCCTGTCGGCCGTTACCACCCCCAGCTCCCTCAAGGTCAGTCCAGTCACTTCAAGGATGCCATCCATCCATCTTGCCCTTGGTCGGCCCCTCTTCCTTTTGCCTTCCACTTTCCCCAGCATAATTGTCTTCTCTAGGCTTTGCTGTCTCCTCATGATGTGGCCAAAGTACTTCAACTTTGTCTCTAGTATCCTTCTCCTCCAGTGAGCAGTCGGGCTTTATTTCCTGGAGGATGGACTGGTTGGATCTTCTCGCAGTCCAAGGCACTCTCAGAACTTTCCTCCAACACCACAGCTCAAAAGCATCTATCTTCCTTCGCTCAGCCTTCCCTAAGGTCCAGCTCTCACATCCGTAGGTTACTACAGGGAATACCATGGCTTTGAGTAGGCGGATCTTTGTTGCCAGTCTGATGTCTCTACTCTTTACTATTTTATCGAGACTGGACATTGTTCTCCTCCCAAGAAGTAAGCGTCTTCTGATTTCCTGGCCACAGTCTGCATCTGCAGTAATCTTTGCACCTAGAAATACAAAGTCTGTCACGGCCTCCACATTTTCTCCCTCTATTTTCCAGTTGTCAATCATTCTTGTTGCCATAATTTTGGTTTTTTTGACGTTTAGCTGCAACCCAGCTTTTGCGCTTTCTTCTTTCACCTTGATTAGAAGGCTCCTCAGCTTCTCCTCGCTTTCGGCCATCAAGTCCTTAAAAAAAAGGAGAGGAAAATACAAACAAGGTCATACGCAATGTAGACGGGAACCCAGAAGATGACATACGACTCCCAGGGTGCCTCGCCATTGGCTGCGCCGCCTGGGGCGCTGGGATCTGTAGTGCGAAGGGTTCTGTGTGGTGCGCGCTCTGCTCTGCCTGCCGCTCCTCATCGACGTCGCGGGGCTCGATTGGCCAGCCGCGAGCCAATCATAAAGGCGCGCGCTCTGCGGGGAGGCAGCCTCAGAGTGCCCGGGGCGCGCGCTGGCGAGGCAGCCGCAAGAGACGCGCTGAGCGTGAGTACAGCCGTCCTCCGGCATCAAAGGGGAGAGAGATAGGAAGAAAGAAAGCAAGCAGCCCCATTGGCTATGCCCCTTCTCTTCCCGCCAGGCAGGCAGGTCCTTGTTTCCTTTGTCTCTCTCTAATAAACTCCTGGATGGTCAGGTTGCCATTGGGACTGTAGGCACCTCAAGAAAGCAAGGATGCTGCATTAGAGGGGAAAGAGCGGGGGAGAGGGAGAGAGGGATTCAGAACCCACCCAGACTCCTTATTGGGCCTGTGATTAGTTATTACAGCGTTTCTCAGTCTTGGGGGGGGGGGGGTCGCCAAAGGCCATCGGAAAACATAGTATTTTCTATTTATTTTACTAGCCACCCTCTGCCACACATTACTGTGGCCCAGTCTGTGTATATGTGTTTTAAACAGAGGCTGGATGGCCATCTGTCAGGGGTGCTTTGAATGCAATATTCCTGCTTCTTGGCAGGGGGTTGGACTGGATGGCCCATGAGGTCTCTTCTAACTCTTTGATTCTAGGATTCTATGTGCGTTATATAATTGTATATATGTGTAGTTTTGTGCATGTGTTGTAATGTTTTTTTTTTTTGGCTTTTAAGTCCCTTCTGTTGTGTTTTTTTAGTGTTTTTATGAGTGATGGTCATTCGTTGGCCTGATAAGTGTCTTGTGTCCAAATTTGATGTCAATTCATCCAGTGGTTTTTGAGTTTTGTTAATCCCACAAACGAACATTACATTTTTTATATAGACTAGCTGTTCCCTGCCACGCGTTGCTGTGGCCCACATGGGGGTTCTGTGTGGGAGGTTTGGCCCAATTCTGTCGTTGGTGTGGTTCAGAATGCTCTGTGATTGTAGGTGAACTATAAATCCCAGCAACTACAACTCCCAAATGTCAAGGTTCTTTTTTCCCCAAACTCCACCAATGTTCACATTTGGGCATATTGAGTATTCATTCCAAGTTTGGTCCAAATCCATCATTGTTTGAGTTCACAGTGATCTCTGGATGTAGGTGAACTACAACTCCAAAACCGAAGGACACTGCCCACCAAACCCTCCCAGTATTTTCTGTTGGTCATGGGAGAACTGTGTGCCAAGTTTGGTTCAATTCCATCGTTGGTGGGGTTCAGAATGCTCTTTGATTGTAGCAACTACAACTCCCAAATGAGAAAATCAATTTTTTTTTGAGTGAAGGACATACATTAGGTTGTTAGGTGTCCTGTGCCCAAATTTGGTGTCAATTTGTCCAGTGGTTTTTGAGTTCTGTTAATCCCACAAACGAACATTACAATTTTATTTATATAGACTTACAACATTTATATGCCACCCTTCTCACCCCGAAGGGGACTCAGAGCAGCTTACAAGATACACACACACACAATATATATATATATATATATATATATATATATATATATATATATTATATGATTAGCATACCATTATATTGTAATATTATTAGTAAGATTACTAAGATTACATGTAATATAAATATATAATTATAATATATTATTAGTATTATATTGCATTACATATTATAAATATATGTATATACAATATATTAGATTGCATATTATTAGATTAGCGCAGGAGACAAGGTAGAACTGTCTCCTTCCCCCCTCTCTCTTCACTCAGAGCAGCGGTTGACATATCTGTTGGTCATTGGGGTTCTGTGTGCCAAGTTTGGTTTAATCCCATTGTTGGTGGGGTTGTATGTGAACTATAAACCCCAGCAACGATAACTCCCAAATGTCAAGGTCTTTTTTCCCCATACTCTATCCATTTTTGGACATATTGAGTATTCATGCCAAGTTTAGTCCAGATCCATCATTGTGTGAGTCCACTGTGCTCTTTGGATGTAGGTGAACTACAACTCCGAAACCTAAGGTCAATGCCCACCAAATCCTTTAAAAAATACATATTTTATTTGGTGTAAGGGGGGAAGAAAAAATACATATTTTATTTGGTGTAAGGGGGAAGAAAAGGGATAAAAATATTTTTATATATACATGTAAAGTGGTGGAACAATAATAAGAAAAAGTGGGGAAAAAAGAGAAAGATATTGAGAAAAGAAAAAAGGTCCAAATGACCAAATCATACTAGCAAAGTTCCTTAAAAAAGAGAAAAAAACCTGGTGACTTTCGTCTAGTCCTTTGCAGTCTCAAGTTAGTTCGTTACTGATAGTTCTGTATTTATATAAAAAAAAGAAAAAAATGACTTTAGCATACCTTCAGTCCATTTTCCTAACAATTCCCTTTAGTAAGGTTTCTTATGGTAAATCTTTTGTTTTCTTCTTATTTTCATATTCCTCAATCTGACAATTTGTCTGTTTAATCGGGTTTCCCGAGTTCTTTTTTAGTAAAAAGGTTAATTTGTCCATGTCTTTTATTTCCCTTCTTTTATTTGTCCATTGGTCCATATCGGTATTTCCTTCTGTTTCCAGTACCTGGCATAAACACTCCTGGCGGCTGTAATTTAAGTACACAAATAAAATGTCCTCATTTGAGTCTAAATCTGAGTCAGTTATTCCCAAAAGGTAGTACTCTGGCTTCTTTGGAAATTTTTTCATGAAAATCTGTTGACACTCTTCATGTATTGATTTCCAATATCTTTGGGATTCTTTACAAACCCTTTTCTGTTGTTCATGGGAGTTCTGTGTGCCAAATTTGGTTCAAATCCATCATTGGTGGAGTTCAGAATGCTCTTTGATTGTAGGTGAACTATAATTCCCAAATGACAAAATCAACCCCCCACCCCACCCCACCACTATTCATATTTGGGCGTATTGGGTATTTGTGCCAAATTTGGTCCAGTGAATGAAAATACATCCTGCATATCAAATATTTACATTATGATGCATAACGGTAGCAAAATTACAGTTATGAGGAAGCAACAAAAATGTTATGGTTGGGGGGTTACCACAACATGAGGAACTGTATTAAGGGGTTGCGGGATTAGGAAGGTTGAGAAACACCGAGTTATTAGATTAGTTATTGGTTAGTTTTTACATATGTCTGATATGTATGCCTCAAGGAGAAAACAGAAGGAGGGGTTTGTTGAGGAATGGAAAGTTTGTTTCAAAATTGTCATTGTTACAACTAAGGGCCCATCCACACAGTACTGCCCTGAGTCACCCACGGGCTGAGAAGAGTGGTATATAAATACAGTAAACAAACAAACAAACAAACAAATAAAATCTTTATCTCAGGAGTAACTGGTTCAAAATGGGATTTTTTTGAAGGGGGGGGGGGGGCTTCCAGACAGGCCCTGTACTCCAGGATCTGATCCCAGGTTTTCTGCTTTAAACTGGATTATATGAGTCCACACTGCCAGATAATCTGGGGTGAACAGAAAATCTGGGATCATATCCTGGGGTATCGTGCCTGTCTGGAAAGGGACTTTATGTTGGATTATTCCCAGGTTATACATGTTAGTTCCTGATTGGTTGTATCCTAAAAACATGGCAATTTTGGAAAACCATAATGTTCATATCATTTTGGTGAAAAATGGCATTCAAAACCATTTGAAAATCATAACCTTTTGTAAAAGTATAATCTTCCAGAGAAGAGACAAAAAAAAAAAAAACTCATTTGAGTAAAATCTTCTCTTTAGTGGTATATATCCACATATACTTATGCAAGGCAATTTTGTCTTCAGTTGTTAGGCTGATAAACTAGTTGTCTCTGATCAGTTAGGAACAGAGATTATGCCAACGCACAAAATATAGCAGTTCTTCAGAAGTGTTTTCTTCAGTTGCTCAAAAATACATGTACACTCCCATAAACATCTTGTTTCTATATCATGCTCTCAAGAGATAAAAATAAAGTAGACTTTGTTAAAAGTGACATATTAGGTTTACTCACAATCTTCATGTATTCTGCATACAGGTAAATAATTTGTCAATCCAGTTACAGATAGGTTTCTCTGTGTAACACAAGTCATCTGTCTTACAGTCAACAGCAACATGAGTTTGCTCTTAAGAGTCCAAAGTCTAAGCAGGTAAGAGACAGTCTTAACAATCTGAGAGTCTAATGGAGTCTAAATCCTGGAATCTGTTTTGGGTCCCGGGGAGATTGACCCAAAATCTCATCAGTATTCAAAGTTGGCCAGATTGGGTGTGTGTACCAAATTAGGTCCAGATTGGTGGGGATCAGAGGACTCACTGAATATGAGTGAACTAGAACTCCTGGATTCAGGGGCCAATCACCCCCAAACCCAACCAGTATTCATAGTTGGTGACGTTGGATCTCTATGCCAAGTTTGATCCAGATCTGTTGTTGGCTGGGTTCGGTGTTCTTGGGATGTAGGTGAACTACAACTCCCCTATTCTAAGGTCATCTCCCTTCAAACCCTGCCAGTATTCACAGTTGGCCATGTTGGGTCTGTGTGCCAAGTTTGGTTATTGCGTCTTGTCGCTGACAAAAATGCAGAGCAGCCTTTGGAGCAGCTTCTTTCAGTTTCAAAACTTAAAACAATGTGGTTGTATGAAGGCTGCTGTAAAGGAAACATCACACAGTCCTTTAGAGCAGCCTTCATTTGGCTCTGTAGTGTGATTTCTTTCACACTACAGAGCTAAATTTGGCTCTGTAGTGTGATTTCTTTTCCCAAGCACAAAACTCACCTCAACAGACAACATTTTGGGATGAAAAACATCCTGGCAGCTGCAACAAGGGCTTTGAACCACATCTCAAGGGAAGACTTCCTGCACAGCAATGAAGAGTGGAGCAACAATACTGTAATTGCTGCATTCAATCACGAAGAGCCTCTTTACAAAGGGAATAAACTACCATTGCATATATATACAGGGTTAGTCAAAATGAATAGGCCAATAAGAAAATTAATTTTAGACAAATGTATGTTTACTGTAACCAAACCACAGCTACGTAGCGACAGATAAACTATCAAAGTTTTGTCTCACCTTCAGAGATGTTCGATATGGGCGCCCCGTGTGACACGGCAGATGTCCAAGCGATAGTCCAGTTCATTCCACATCCGTTGCAGCACAT